TCCTTTGCCGCGTTTCCTGCAGCTGAGTCGCGCTGACGTTCGCCACCACAGACATGTCAACAGATTGTTCAAACAATACAGGTGCGCGGACCTTTTCACCCTGCGGTTCCCTCACCTTCCTTCTCAACGTGGGAATTGAGCTAACAGCAAACCAATGTCAGAGTGTGTGTCTCGAACTAACTCTTTTCAATTAGAATAGGACTTGTGAATCGGACTCGGCTTGTTTCGCAGCCTGAGTGAGCCGTTTCAAGCTTTCATAATATGTCGAGTTACGGCACGGCACTTGAGCTCACACCTTTGCTCCCTTGGCAGCTCTTCTTCGCCATCACCGAGCGGCACCGCGCGGCTCCGGCACCGGCACCGCGCTTTCACCGAGGTCCAATTACAACAAGCTCTTCGGGGATCCGGCACCGCTTCGGCCCAAGAGGTCCGGGACACGGCCGCGGCGATGGCCTGGGCTCTGACCAACGAGGAAACACTCCTACCAAGAAGAAAGGGGAGAGGGGCAAGTGGATCCCCAGGACCTGGAAATGATGGTCCTGGCAAGTGGAAGATCCACTGGAAATAATGGTACCTGGATCTTCCCAACTTGATCCACTGGTGACCTTGGTCACGAACAGGCTTGTAAAAGGTCACTGGATGGGACGCCAAAAGGGTCACTTGGAAGACGCTGGTATATGATGGAGTGTAGTTATAGTTGTTCATGCAGTGGGCTGTATGGCTAGATTCCAGTGTTTGAGACAGCCAGTGTTTTAGGGGCAGAATCATACCCACCAAAATCCATTGTTTGGAACAGAAGAGACTTAGCCAATTCTTTGCCAACAAGATATCCAACAAATAAGTTGACAGAGATATTCCAGATATGGTTTTGCGTTCCACTTGGTGGTTTGTTTTTTTTTGCCCAGTGATTTGTGTGCAGCGACGACGATGACGACGCCGAGGGGCAGAAGAAGAAGATGGGCGTAAGAGGAATAAAAACAAAGAATAATATTAATACAAATTACAAATAACAATAAAAATAATATAGTAAAGAAGGAGAGGAGAAGCAACAAGATCAACAGAGACCAGCAGCAGCAGCAGCACGACCACCATCATTATATACTACCACCAGAACCACCAAACAGCTGTTCAATGTCTCCAGGTAAACTGAGGGAGTCTGGAAAGTGAGTGTTCTTCCATGGAGATCCTCAAAGGTCAAACGAAGCATATCGCCCAGTCTCTGGCTTGCGAGACTTGGAGACCTTCAATCAAGCATTGTCCAAGCTGGAGTTGCAAATGCAGGATTCCAGACGCGCTGCACCAGGACGTGGGAGCATGGTGGTTTCGAAAGCTCCAGAGAAAGTCCATCACTCCCGTCACGGCCGCCCAGCGGCCCACGGCCCTCCGTGAGCGCTTCTGTCTAAAGGACCCATCCAAGACCCAGACCGCGCGACCGCGCTGGGCCAGATCGATTCCGTGGACGATGGGCCGCGCCCCCCCTCGTCTTCTCAAAGCCGGAGTCGCGCCACGGTCCGAGGTCATCATTGCAGATGGACATAGGAATGATGACGTCTTCCAAGTTTTACGGAGCACTCCAGGATGGCTCGGAACATCAGGGACCTTGCTCTGCATCTTCGAAAAAAGGGATTGTCTTTGAGCACGGATTGCTTACGGAAATGTGTTGAGAGAACTCGTTCGACTCGGGAAATGCCCAGGGAAGAAGGTGGATTCTCTTCTCGTTTCTTGGAGTCAAAGCAGAAGCTGGGGAACTGTTCAATCATTTCATCTTCTGATCTGACCGCAGTTGTTATAAGTAAGCTTCGGAGCGCAAGCACTTTTCACCCCAAGTCTCGTTTGCATGTGCATGACGAAACATGACGGCGGCTGTTATTTTCTTTGGTCTATATAGGTCTAGATTGTTCAACTCAACAAACGTAACAACAGAACTCTATAGCAACATCCACCCAAAGCCCTCTTCATGGATCATGTGACTCCTGGTGCGTCACATGTGCTCTCCATGGAGGAGAGGCAGTCGAACATCACATCCACTGGATGAGACAAAACACCACCCTGACATGTCCGTTGCACCCCAAGCATTTCTGGATCTCCGAGAGGCAAAACACATGAACCAAAAGCCCTGCGTTTTGGAGCGCCGCTGTGCCGCACACCGCCACGCCACGGCGCCAGAATGTTCGTGGAGTATCGCCTCAGCAACCTGCGCTCGTGCGATGTGGCCAACACACGCTACGTGGGGCGCACCCAGTGGGAGGTGGGAGGCTGCTTAAATCTGTTGAATGATTAACTCTTGTTTCATTCATCTCTCTTTTAATCTTTATACACATTTAACAAAGTATCTGTTGGGTGGGTTCTTCGGGTAGGTTCTCAGCGCAGGGTTTCGTGGAGTGATTTTGTGTTCCCAGGGTCAGTGTGAGTGTCCGTGTGAGGATGCAGGGTTTCGGATGTCAGTGCGGATGGCTTTAAGGGAGAAGGCCATTCCAAGACGTCGGGTGCTAGACGTTGGGTGACCTGGGTGCTGTGTAACTCTTCCAACCAATTGATGCGATGTCCATCGTGAGAGAGGGCCGACCCATGATGGTGATCGTCCGATGTTCCGGGCGACACGAGCCACGGGAATTGGTAACAAAGGTACCTATCACCCCAATGGTAGCTCCTCCAGAGGGATTGACTTTGACTTTGAAGCTCTTCGAGATCTGAGACCGCGAGCTAGTCCAGAGGGATTGAATTATATTGACATTCACTCTGGAGCGATCTTTTGGAAGACTCGCAAGCGATCGACTTGATGCCGCAAAAGGCTGGCAAAGCTGCAGATGTGTTTGTTGTTTTTTAAAATTGTAGTCAATCTGACAAGTACCCATGCGTGTGTAAAGATGTTGAAGCTACTTTGAAGCCTCCAATCTTCACCGGAATCCCACTGGGCGTCCCCTCTCTATCTGTCAGGAGAGCCGATTGGCCTTAGCGCCGGTCATCGCTGCTAAGGCCAAGCTCGGGACGATTCCTTCGGATGGAGGATGAAACTTTCACAGACCTGTAATCTACCTGAACCAAATGTGACTTTGTATGGGTTTGTATGGTGTGGCCAGGGCCTCAAAAGAAGGGTTTGTTCACAAGGCCAATTGCCATTCGGCAGTTGCGGCCCTTGCACAAGCTACAGAGGATGGTGTGTTTTCCTAGGCCGATGCACAGACTATCCCAAAACAATCCTATTCAAGATACTTGACGCATTGCCGGCTACTGCTGTAAAGTTCTTGTAGAGTCCTGTTTTTTGTTTCGCAAACTAAGGTGTTGTAGATGAGCAGGGTTTGGATGTGTTTGGCTTTATGCATGATATTGTATGATGGTTAGAGTGAAGCATTTTGCTCCCGGCTTGATTGGTTTGCTGTGCTTGCTTTGGTTTTTATGCCTTGCACAGCGCAGCCAAATGGCTTGCTGAAAGGATCACCTGACGATTTGTTCAAAGCGGCCGCATGCATGGAGACGGCCGCACAGCCACATGCAGGATGAACAGAGAGCCATCCAGTGCAAAACACACAGATGTGAGGGCTGCATGTTTCATGTTTCTAAGAATTAGGGGATGCAACTTCCAGTTCTAGCAGCCCAGCACTGGTTTGTGTTATTTCTGTGATGCTACTGCAGACATCCTGGGGCTGATCACCTGAGTTTTCGGTCCTTTAAGGGTACAGATGCCCTCATTCCCTCACAGGATTGGCAATTCTGGTGCCCAACATTGCCCAACAGAGCTACACTGCTCGATTTGTCCTTGTGTCATGCATCCACCTTTGACACAACCTGTTTCAGCAGAGAGGAGATAATGAATGGTTTGATTTGCGCAGGCGGTGGTGAAAAGTTTGCGTAGATCACCATGCAGCCTCCACTGGAACCATGTGATATACATTCCCGTCCCCAAATGACCTGTGCCCATGCCACACTACAGCGCCTCCTCCCGCGCGGTGCTGCTTCTGGCCTTCGTCACGTGGTATCCGGCCTGTGGCCTGGAGAGTTTGCGCAACGCGTCGCTTGGCGAGGACTGGAGCACAACTCTCCGAGGATAGCTGCATGTTGATTCATAAATCCACCCCATTCGGATTGTAAAACGTTCCGGAATTTGCCCAACGAATGACCCCGTGTTTGGGCGTAATACCAAGAACGCCACTGTGGACACTCAGGTCCATCAGTAACAGGATTGTTAAAACCTCTTCATCTGGGGAGGGCATAAAACCCAGATTCTACATCGATCGGATAATCAGCTGGATGTTTGGTGTTCTGAATCACGAGATAACAGGTTCTTTCCAAGAGAGGTTGAGAGACCTGAACCTAGGACCCTGTAGTGGTACATATGGGATGGGTGACCTTAGGGATGTCCAACCTCTCTTGGATGTTCTTCCCCCCTTTGAGCTCGGCCATGCTTTCAGGTTGAACTTGAACCACCTTGTTGACTATTGCGATCCCGACTACAGTCCCAGTGGGTGAGAGAGTTCATTGCAAACGGGCAGTTGTCCATATTGATGCTTTTTTTTTTCTCTACATTCGGTATGCTTTGACTCTTGGTGTTTATTAATATACTTGTGTCAGGTACCAGGTAGGTTGTAGGGGTGAATGTAGGTCATCTATGCCTGCATGGATGGAGCGTTGGGGGACAATTGGCCAAACGATTTGAATAGACTCCACTTTGCCGTCGATCGCGGAGCTAAATCGCCCGTGGATTCCCACGGCAATTCGCCCAGGATGTTGCTCAAGTGTCAGCCTCATTTGTCAGTAGTGTGTGTTTGTTTTGGTGTGTTTGTTCTTGCAAGGATTTGCTGGATAATTGCTGGATATATATGGGTTTTCTTCCGGAAGTAATGTCTTTCGGATATATTTTTCGGTACAGGGGACACTGCGCTATCTGAATAGTCCTTTGGCATCTTCCTGCTCCAAATCCAGTGGACTCCAAGTGGTGGCCAAGGCCCAAGAGGCCTCGAGATGAGCGGAGCTTTGTGTCGAAGACGCTAAGATACGAGGCGAGGCTGGCTGGAGGGGACCCCTTTGGATCTCGTTCAAAGCGAACCCAACGATAGGGTCGGAACGCCAAGCCTGGGACTCGGGGGGGTTGGGATGTTTTTGTTGCCCAAGGATCTCTCTAGACGCCCTGGCCTTTCAAGACCGATGAAGAGTAGATCGCATCTGGGCCCCATGGTGGTTCCAATCCTAGTGTACAGGTAGGGTGAACAGGGAGGTTGGGCATGTAGTTCGAGAACCTTTTCACACACCACTGGTGTTTCAACGAGGTCCAGTGAGTGCATGCAGTGAAATGCTGTGAACGTGTCAAATATCGAGGGACCGAGTCACACGCCCAGTATACTTGTTGTGTGGGACTGGTACTTCTGAACCAGTTGTGCCGTGGCAATCACTGCTGCACTTCGAAAAACCCATGGCCCTCGCGGGCCTGGCGGGCTGCACAATGCCAATCTCCGGCGGGCTGGAGGGGAAGCAGATCCTGCCAAGACAGTCACAAACAGCAGCAGCTGCAAACTGTGACATTAGAAGGAGCGGCTACTCCAAACTCCGGCTCCAAATCTGTGCGCCGAGGATGTGACTTGGGATCCGGGCAACCGCAGCTGTTGGGAGCTGCCGGCAGCTCAGGCCAAGGTGCGTGTTGCATGTAAGGAGCATGAAAGTGATTTTCCATCCATCCAAGGTCAGGTCGCCAGTGACCGTAAAATAGGACCCCAGCTACCTGGGGTACCGAGCTACATGGGATCGTCGAACTCACTTGGGTCCTGAAAAAACATGTGTTATGATGGATGGCACGACATCGGCACAGCTTGCGGGCGGCAGGGCTTCAACCTGGAGCGCTGTTGCTACGTCCAGGAGAACCAGACCTGGAGAGCGCGGCAGCGCATCCGGCGCAGCTGGATGCGCAAGCGTGCGTGCGGTGGAGGGGGGAAGGAATGAGGAAAAAGGGCTGAAGGGGTGGTGAGAGGTGGAAAGCCTTTGGGTGATAGTAAAACGCGGAACAAGTTGCATCCGAAGACCATTGTTGGTCCCTAACTTGGAATGGTCATAGCCGCTCAAAACCCACCTATGCCTGAAGTTCTATGACGTTCGTGACATGTGTGTGATTTAAACACCTGGGATCTGGAGTATGGAGCTATGCCAAGAAGAGATAGAGGGGTTGATATTAAACAGCTCGACTGCATCCATCCTTGCGACCGGTCACTCGTGCGAATCGTAAGGAATGATGATGGCTGAATTTGAGTGTGACGATTGCCTTACGGCAGACACCCAGTTTGCCTCCGGCCCTAGGTAAGGGAAACTAATAGAAACTTAAAAAAATAGTATGGTCGACGGTCGACTCTAAAACCATCCAAAAACTCATTGACTGGTTGACACCAGACGTCAGCTTCCTCAAAATTCACAAGCTCCTTCGAAATCTGAAGGTGATGGACATTGTGCACAAGTTCTTGAACAGAGATGTTGAACAGGTGTGTCATGGCCTGTTTGCAACCTTGGAGGATCTTCCTATGTGTTCCTATAATATAACCAGATGGCCCCCGTTGGGAGCCAAAACATTGTCTTTTCTTCTCAAACCAGAGGTCGTACAGGTAAGCCAGAGGGCCCCGGTGCGAAGCCCACTGAGGGCGTGGGGAGCCCAATTGCTGGCAGATACCAGGCAACGAGCTGGAGAGCGAGAGGGTGTGGAGTTTTTTTTGATGGGCCAGATACCCTGTACCTCAGAATGGGTTTGGCTGATACCGTTTACTCATTTCAATACATGGGAATGGCAGGTTTAACCCGTTCAACAAAGATGCAGGGCCGACTCCAGATGAGCTTAGAGTCAGAAGCGTTTGGTTTGCTGGAGAACGCCCATTGGGCCTCAAGTCACACATCGCTACAAATCATCCGGTGGACGATGTATCCAAACCGCACTTTTTGTTCGCTGTGGGCAGTCATGCCAAATTCAATAGACAGGATGTTCATTATGACACCCCAAGGAAGCTATGAAGCACACACCCAGACCATCCATGTGTACGATGATATGTTACATACATTTGGCTGGTTTGGCTGGCGTCCATGTAAACAAAAGGTCCAGTCCCACGGAGTGTTTGGGACAGGCGTCCAGACAGGAAGCAGTGGGCGGCACCGATTGAAGAGATCCCTGAGATCTCATGTCTTCATCGAACCATTGGGCTTTTTGCGTTTGCCCATGTGATGGATTGAGCATTCCTTGCTTATATCCTTGCTTATTTTGAATCTGATCGTTTTTTGGTCAGTGAGGTTGGTGATGCACAATCAGATTCCACCAAAGAAGGCAATCACAGTGAGTGTCTTGTTTATTTAATAGATTGGATGCTTGGACCAGCCAGACATCGTACACTTAGTACACATGGAGCATCAGTTTCGAACGCCAAGTTCATAGAGTTCATTCTTCAATTCTACTAGAACTGATGATGATACTACATGTTACTACATGTTGCAGTCTCAGGTACTCACCCTTGTGTTTTGTGTGATCTCCACTGTGTACGCATTTATATATATATATATATATAGTCAAGTACTCACCCAGTTTTGTGTGCTCTCCACATTGTGTACGCATTTAGTTAGATTAGTGCATTTCCACTTACACTTGGAGTATGACCTTTGGATGTACTTCCTCCGGTAGGCCTTTCCTTCCATCGCTGCTGCGGGGCCTCCGCTTTGCACGCCGGCAACGTGGTTCCAGCCGCGCAGTATGCCTTCCGGGCAGCGGCCTGGCTGATGGTGTGCAGGGGGTTGGGCCAACTTCCCAACACCTGCCGCCTGCCTGGCCAAATTTCTGTTTGGTTGGATCAAAGCTTTTACAGGAATAGTTTCATAGTATACCCAGCCATGGGGAACCCTTCAACTAGGCTCAGTGAAGGTTTGTGGTCCCTTACTCGCCGGCTTCACCTTTCATGGGCTGCTTGACGTTCAAGCTTGTCAAAGTTGATGGAAGTTGATACAAATGCTGAAATCGAAGAAGTTGCTTTGCCTTTGTGGCAATAGCTAGAGTCCAAGTTTGTGTCCTCCCCAGCTGTTTGCCGCCAGGTGGTTGCGTTTCTTGGCAGTGTGGGGTCCGGTTGAAGTGGCTTGACGGGATTCCAGATGTCCAGTCTACATCCAACCGCTATGCGGCAGGGCAACACGGCAACACTTCTAGCAGGGAATGGACCGACTGTTGCCAAAATGTGCAAAAAAAAAGGAACTGCTTCGTGCACATACCTAGGACGGTTATATATCCTTGAATTATATACTGCTGATGTCTTTGTTGTTGAAGCTCAGCCAAACTGTTTGGCACATGCTTCGGAGCAACGACTTCTCTACTCGTTCGCCCAGAGTCCACCCACATCGTGCTGTGCCAAATGCGTAAGAGCCACAGAGCCAACCTGGCCACCTGTCCCAAGCAGCGACATAAGCAGTGAGCACACGTGGAATTTCATGTCCAAGCTGACCTGTGAGAAGGCAATCCTTAAGGCAATCCCTAATCCACTGACCCAGAACAGACAGACTTAGACTGTTTGTTCTCACAAAGACCTTAGCATGACACTACGAGAAATGTCAGTCTTTAGCATGACATCCAGACGAAATGAATTGGACAACCATCATCAACCATTGTCAACTCAATACATTGAGTGAGCACCGTCTTTTGCAAGTGCTGCTCCAGGTCCAGCGACATTCCGTTTTGGTCCACTGACTCCCCGAGTCCACAAGAACCTCGTCGTTATCTCCGATCCAATTGGGCCCCGTTCAGCCAGATGGAAGATTGACATCCAAAACGAGTTGTGTTTGGGGTAAATGTATTCTGGGCAGCATATTTACATACATTGGGCATCATTGGGCATCATTCATATGCCCAACACCCCAGACACTTCGCACCCCTTTTTATCATGCATATATATATATATATGTCAATCTGCTATCGTCCCACCCTTGGTATCGATCCTAGGATGACGACCATCCCTCCTCGACTCTTCGACCTCAAGGAAGTCCTCTTGTCACTCCTCCGTTGCTGAGCTGAACCACCGGAGCTGAACCGCTCACCGGTCGACCGGCACGACTCGATGGATTCGACCCGTCCGGGTAACGTTCTGAAGGAGCCAGTGGGAAGTGAGGAGCTCAGCTCGCACCAAAGAACTCGCACCAAGCTGTAGGCTAGAATCGGCTAGAAAGGCCTAACTTTAGATCCTGGTTCCCATCCCCTATTCTCAGGCTCAAAAGCCGTCAAACAGTGCTTCACAAGCGACCAAAGCATCCGAAGATCAACCGTTCTTTGGCAGGTGCTTTGGTCAAGCAAGGTGCTTTTGGTCAACCAAGGTGGTAAAAGACCTCTACGTACTTGATCCTTTTTGCCTGGAATTGCCTTCGAACCAGGACAATCACGTCGACCTGACGCCATCTATTTGTCGGTGCCCTACTTCTACTCTCGCAGCTGGACGCCCTACGAACATCCCTGGTGGTACAAGTTCATGGATCCGCTCGTGCGCTTGGTGCGATGCGAGCAGGCCGCAGTGGGGAGAGGCCGCAGGGAGGCCGGAGGGAGGCACGTGGGCACCAGCCATTTTGATTGGAGACTTCTCATTTGAAGTTGCATGAGGAAGGGGATCATGTATATTCATGTCCATCCCTAGGCCGTCCAGGTGTGGAATAGTACAGTGGGATCATTTGGATGGGGTAAATATATGTAACTCATGAAGATCGTGAAGGTTTTGAACATCCTGTAGTTCACAGAGGATCGCCTTCCCCGAAATCACGAAGATGTCGCGTGGATTGGTGCTTTTCCCTCTCTCTCTTTGGAGGGAGTGCCCCAGCTTGGACACCTTGTGTGGAAATAGTCTCAGGATTCCAACATGTCAACTCGTGTCCTTGTAATGAACATTGCATGTGGACGCGTAACATCAATTGGGTGTCCTTTGAGTTCGTTGACTTGCTGTTTCGAGTTTTTCAATGGCAAACACTCATACTCTCCATAGGTGCACTCTCAAAATACATTGCAAAACCAAGAGGAGAGTGTTCATTGGTCATTTTCACCAATTTGATGGCTTAAGGACTTCCCGTTTGACCCAGAGCGACAATCTTGGATCGCTTGGACCATCGCCAGGACTTTCGGAGCAACACAGGGATTCTTTGCATGCTGCAGCAGCTTGACTGAGCTGGGCTTGGAAGTTTGGGTGAGCTGGGAGTGGAACGCTTTGACAACGTAAGTTGGATACAGATACACTACACAATAAGACTTCAATATATGGTTGTCGATCTAAAGGTCCTAATGATTAGGTAGCGTTGTTGACGATGACCCTGGAACATGTCAAAACATCATTTGGCGAAAGTTTTTTCTCGAGTTTGCGAAAGTATTTTTTGGGGGGGCGAAAGATATGGCTAAAGATGTTCTTTTTGCTGCCGTTGTTACTACTACTACTACTGCTACTACTTCTACTCCTACTCCTGCTGCTGCTACTACCACTACCACTACCACTACCACTACCACTACCACTACCACTACCACTACCACTACCACTACTACTACTACTACTACTACTACTACTACTACTACTACTACTACCTCTACTGCTGCTGCTACTACTACCACTCCTGCTGCTGCTACTACTACATACTGCTACTACTACTACTACTACTGCTGCTACTACTGCTGCTGCTGCTCCTACTCCTACTACTACTACTACTGCTACTACTACTACTTCTACTACCGCTACTGCTACCGCTACTGCTACTGCTACTCCTGCTTTGGGGGGTGGCTCTGCCACTAAACTCTTCGCCGCTTCAGGCGAAAGTTTGGCGAAAGTTCAGCTCAAGATTGGCGAAAGTTCACCCTGCCACATCTGACCCCCAGCCCATTATGAGTAAGTCTGAGCGACCGGCTGCAACAGTGGTTCTTGCAACTTTTGATTCTTTCAGACACCCAGGAGAAACAAAAGAGACGTACAGGGTGTCAACAGTTAAGTAGAAGACACATGCAGTGAAGTTTCTATTTCGTATCTGCCAGTAAAGAAGAAGCCTTTGACATGAAATAATGATATCCCTCATACAACATACATGGCAAACATAAATACAACATACTTCGGCGAAAGATAGAACACAGGAAGGCGAAAGTTTTGCAAAAGTAATTAATGACGGATCCTAGATAAAGGAATTTAGATCAACACCCATATATATATATGTTCAATAGCCGGGTGTTGAGGTATGTTATTACGTGTTCCAAGCATGGGGTTGATTGTATATGTCCGACTAATGGACCCACACCCAAGTACTTTTCCTCCCAGGTTCAACATAACTTGAAGGAGTAAACATCAAATCATGGCATAGGTTCGTGTTGCTGTGGACGAGCCAGGTATGAATCTGCGCCGGACACGCGTATTCTTGTAGTCACTTGGCAAAGCGACGTGGGCTGGCTGTGGGAGCATGCTTCAATGGCTGTGACATAGACTTGTTGTGAAAGAGATGTGCTTGTTTCATGGTCATAAGTCATATGCTTAACAGTTTAACAATGTTCCAAGATGCTATATATTTAACTGATAATCGTTTTTGTTTCTGGACTCTCTCTCTCTCTCTCTAACACTATTTATTACATTATTTATATAATGCACTAATTTTGGCTACGATATTGCTTCTCCCTCTCCTGACCTCGTGCTGACGCGCACACCTCCATGAAGTTCATGTCGTTCCTCCATGACGTTCATTGTCGATCATGTTGGCATGTTTTTGCATGCTTTAAAGTTATATTTTCAAAACAACCAACTAGCATCATGTTGTTTGGTGTTCGGATGTTTTGGGGCCAGGTTCAACCACCTTCTGAGGTAGTTGGAGAGCCAGGGTATGGAAGGAGAGTGGGTAGTTTTGGAGCCATTTGTTTGTCAAGTACACGTCTAAATACCGTGTGGCCGATTTGCTTGCTTTTGAGCGCGAGGATTTCCGTTTTCATTGGTATTTGGCAGGTGGACGATGATCAGTTGTACCATCCGTTCCTCTTGCAGCGCATGCTGGCCATCAGCGCTGAGATCCCTGGTGCCACTGGGCATTTTGACACGTATGGAGACACCGCTTATAAATGTTCCTCTTTTGGGGGCTCTTCATAGACTCCCCCGAAACGGGGGGCTCTGGTCGATGTATGAAATATTCTGGAATTGTTGCATAATTACATGTTCAATTGGGCGAGGACCTACCTAAGTAACTAGGCAACTACTCTATAAGAAATTGTTTCACGGTGGGACTCACAGGAGGTTGCCCCTCAATCAGTATTAGGATGTCGGGTTTTCTTCCGGGCAGTTCCACATTCAGTCAAGTCAAGTCCTGTGTTTTTTGCTTGATACCCACCCGTAATGTAACCATCCACAGGCAATCAAAGCATCTTTGTGCTAAAGATTACATCATTCCCATCCTTTCATCTTTGATCCAAAAGATCCAACATCGTGCTGGAACAGGGTCCTTCTCATTTGGATCTTTATCAACATCTTCCTGTTCCTGCAATGAAAAAACGACCTTCCCCAGTGTCCCAACATCTCCTCTGTCAAAACCTCCCCTCCTCCGCGGCCGCCATCGGCGGAGAGCGAGGCGATGATCGGCGGCAACTGCTATCATCGCCCAGGCATCGCCTGCTGGAAGCACACCAAGAGGCACTTGCAGCGCGACGTAGCGTGAACTGTTTGAAACCGAAGGTGTTTGTTTTCCGGCGCCATTGGGGGGGGTGCCATTGGGATGGCGGTTCGCACGCGTTTGGAGGGGCTGGGTCCAAAATTGAGGTCTAAAAATTGGTCAAGGAGAATGCCAAGCGCTTCACAAAAGTGCCAAGCGTCGTATGTTTTTTGGATGTGTGAACAGAGCAAACTCATGTCATTGCAAACTCCACGGTACCGACGGAGATCAGAATGTTAGACCAGGGGCATGTGTGCCGTGCCGAACCTGGTCCACACCACCTACGGCATCCTCTTCCAGCGCCGCAACTTGGCGGATCAACCGAGAAGCTCATTGCTCTTGGCTCAACAGAGTTTGCTGCAGAAGAGGGGACCTTTTGGAACTTGGGAATTTGATTACCAGCTTCTTCAAACTGACCTTTTTGGAGTCTCTAAGTGACCTTTTACAGGCCTAAGACCTCAAGCCCGGGGATGAAAAGGTCACTTTGAAGAACCAGGTGTAGGCTCTTGATTACAACTTATAACTTATAAAATCGTCCCATTTGGATTGCAAAGCCATGTAAAACCTCTTCTGTTGGCGGGTCTATTCATCAAGAGTCTACATGGTTGATTGGCTTTGTTCGTTCTCAGAATTTGGTGGTTTTTGGCCGTTGAGGGCTGGATATCATAGCATTTTGCCTTTAATGGTTCAACCCACTGAATGTTGTTTGATTTGCAATCCTGCCTGCTACGCAACGGTAAACACCGTTGTTCTGTCAGATTGAAATGGTGCTTTTGTGCAAATGACATGCCAGCCACACTGGATATAACAATCATTAACAATCTATTTGGAATCAATTGGCAATTCAGCACCCGTTGAGAGCTCTAGTCTTTCTATTTTTGTTTCCACTCTCCCAAACATGTCATCTATTGGATATTTATCTACATTGACCAGAGGTCAATCCTCCCAATGTTAAATATATCAGTCCCACCGGTGGTCTTTGGTACTGATGTCCTGCTCACTCCGCCATCACTCCGTCGTCACGGTTGGAGGCTTCTTTGATGCAGGGATCTTCAACTTCGACGCGGCCGCCCAAGCCACTGGGCTCAGGGAGAGGCTCCATGGCAGTGTAGCCATGCCACCCAAAGCATGGCAGCTCGGGTGGGGTTGGACGGGTGTTACTTGCTTGGTTGTGGCTGCACCATGTGGAACCATGTTGGATGTGTGATTTAGATACATGGACATCAGATGACTCAGATGGACATCTCCCAATTCCTACACGCCCTGTTCATGACCATTATTCCGAAGAACCAACGGCGTGGTTTTCATTCACTCCACGTGACCATGATGAATCGAAGGAGTATAGCAAGTTCAACAGTTCTTCAGACTCCATCAGAATGTCTATATAGTCTACTTACTGTAGATAGGATCTCTGAAGCCTGAGTTCGATGCCTTGGATGACCGGTAGTTTTCACTCCACTTCCATGATCGTCTCCATCCAACAGACGGATGTCTTGTTGTTCGATGTCTCAGCCATGGTCTTTCGAGGCAATCCTCCGAGCTTACCCTTCCGGAGGCCCGTCACGCGACTTGCTGCACAGCGCCTACCATCAAAGCGCCCACTTGACCCTGGACCCTTAAGATACAGTCGCCAGTGATGGTGCGCAACGGTCTCCCTAGGACAACACGGTCTCCCAGGTGACCGCCGTGCGTGAAATACCGGTGACTCCGCCGTGAGCCGGCGATCCACCGGTGATCTAACCCGGTGATCCACCGGTGTCAGACCGAAGGAATGCAGTGGATCCGGTTCTTCTCATGGATCCTCCGTTTGGAACGAGACCAGGGGTCACCTGGGCATGTCGGGGTCACCTGGGCGAACTTCGCCCTTTTGCCCCATCCGGGATCCAGGACACTCCAGTCTTTCAGGTCCAGGTACATTCTCCTGAAGATATCATTCCCAGACGCAACCCTGGACCCTGATATGGAGGGGTCGGACCCTCATATGGAGGGGTCAGGGGTCTCAAAGCCCTACTTGCCCGGCGGTTGGTTAGCTAAGCTGAGCTAAGTCTAGCTTGGACTTATAGGTACTTGGTAAGTACTTAGTTTTGACTTAGCTTTGACTTAGCTAAGTCCAACTTAGCTTTGACTTAGCTTCGACTTAGCTTGGACTTATAAGTCCAGGCTAAGTCCAAGCTAAGTCAATTGTCATTCCAAGCTAAATCCTTTTAATCTTTAAATAAGTGTGTCAATATATATTTTAATTTCCAGCAAAAAAAAAAACGCAAACCACACTGAACAGATGTCAGGGATGTAGCTCCTTTTTCACTTGCCGCGATGATACTATGCTTGGATTGGTTTCAAAAGTTATGGCTGAGCTTGTGACATAAATCACGCTTTTGCTTTTGCCCTTGGCTTTCCCTTTGCGCCACCACGTCCCATGGCACAAAAGGTAAAATATGTCAAATTTGAGTTCAGCTGCACAAATGCCTGCAAAATAAATACTAGTGAAAACAAAAAACGGCAACGCCGTAAACAGAAAATATACATAAATTAAACTTATCATTATTGATATAATATATCAAAAAATAGATTTATATAGTAACAAAAAAAAGAGTAATACACATACATCAACAACATATATGTATATATTAAGTATTTTTCATTAGACTTTATATATACTAAATCTAGTTTACTATAAAAAACAAGGGATAATCAACTGTCATAATGTGTCATATGTTTTAGTGACAATATGTCATAGTGTCTCAGAAAATTATGACAACATCTCTATGGCATTTACTTTTCCAATTAAATCTTGTCATAAACATTATGACATCTGAAGTATTGATTGTCATAATCTGTCATTACATATAATGACAGTTTGTTATCATATTGTTACCTTAAATAATCAATACGTTAACAATACTATTACTTCTAATTTCAAACAATATAGTTAAACAATTTACATAGAATATTTATTACTAATTAGATCAATCGTGATGTACATATTATCACATGAACATTTTGTATATACATATTTGTTGTTGATAGGTTAAAACATAAACATGTACTATTCATTTTACATATATACAAGATTTATAAGTTATCATTTTGTGATTGAGACATATGTTAACCTTTTTGTAATAAACTTTGAATATAAACTAAACAAATAGACTATTAAGATATTAAGGTAATGAAACAAATATATAAACTCAAGAAAGTGTAACAATTAAAAAACATACATGTTTTAAAAGTATATATCTATTGAATATTTTTTTTAAAACAACTATGTATAAATAATGAATTGAAATACTTTGATTCGGCATAGCCGCAATATATACACAAAAGGTCAAACTATAGTATACACAAAAGCTAATGTTACATTAAATCATTGGTTTCAAAAGTTATGATCAGTTTATACCTTGGACTTAGCTTTGACTTAGCTTCGACTTATAAGTCACTTATAAGTGACAGCTAAGTCCAACTTAAACTTAGCTTACTTAGCTGTGACTTAGCTAAGTCAGACCTAAGTACTTGCTAACTCCTATTGGCTTAGCTAACTTAAAGCTAAGTCGAAGCTAACCCTTATAGAGGTTAGTAGACTTAAAACCAAGGTTATAAGTAGGTTAGGACTACTTATAATCTAGGTTATAAGTCGAAGCTAACCAACCGCCGGGCAAGTAGGCTTTGGAAGGCAACATGTGTGCTTCGTTGTTTTGAAAGGAGATCCATGTTTGAGCATGAAACAGAGCGTTTCAAGTGGGTCGCTCGGAAGAAGGTCAGCACAAAAGTCGACCGTTCCAGATATGATATTGCGTCATTGCATTGGGGGTCTAGGTTAATGTATGCCTGCACCAATACGAGATCCTTCAGAAGAATGGTTTCAGTTACTGCAGACAACGGGTCATAGCAGGTCCTCAAGACGCTCGTACAGATGGAAATGAAGGTGTTGCTTGCATAATATGCCTGCAGCATGCATTAATTTCTAGCGTTTTAACAGATTTGTTGCAGGCTTTGCATCAACTTCTCAAGGACATGGAGTCGTGCTGAGGTGACTATGTCATTACCTCGTGCATGCTGGAGGACAATGTCTGGTGGGAAGCTCACTTGGCCCGGAAGGGTATCCCCAGAGTCCTCATGGCTGCTTGGCTATCTACACGGTCGAACGGAGCTCTTGTTTGTACAGATCCTATCAGGAGCAGACAGCAGGTTGTTGAATTGAATCAATCAATATATATATATATATCAATGTCCATCTATCCCTCATGTTCTTTGCATCATTGAGTCCGAAATCTAATCCATCTGAGGCTAACCAGATGGAAGCCAAGACTATTGCAGACACCTGGCGTGCAAAGAGCCAGATGTTGAGATCATCATACCTCGCTTTCGACATACCTTGAGGTATCTATCATTTGATGGACGTGTGAAGCCAAACTGATTTCAATACAGTACTTGTCTAATGTCTTATTTTGGGGAGAACTTGTGATCTTGACCATGGCTCAAATGACCCATCGCTAGACACCTTTTACCCGTGCGCCTCACTGATGCAGATTACGGCCGTGTCTGGCACAACAATTGCTCATGTGGATGAGGATGAGTTGCATCGCATGGTTGAATGTGGAAAGTCCTTTCTGCACCTAAAGCAGCTCCTTTCAGCTAAGGTCGGACACTCAAGGTTTCGGCAGAGACTCTTGAGTGACACCATGGGTGAATTGCATGATGACATGCCGCTAATACCAGTTTCAAGTGTGCAGCTGGTCCTGGTGGACTTTTGTCCTCTGGATGAGATCCGGGGGTATGAGCTACTTCGCAGCTGTCAGTGGAATAATGTGGTTGAAGTTGATAAGCTCCTTCGCACACCCCACGATCCCAATTGGAGAGGCGGTAATACCGGCATTGCACCCATTTATGTTGCAGCTCAATACGGCCACTTGAGGCTTGCCCGCTTGTTGCTTGAGGCTGGAGCTGACAAGGATGCAGCAAGATCAAATGGGACAACTCCCTTGTTAATTGCAGCTGGGAATGGCCACCTGGAAGTTGTGCGTTTGTTGCTCGGGGCTGGGGCTGACAAAGATACAGCAAAATCAACTGGGGCAACTGCCTTGATCATTGCAGCTGAGAATGGCCACCTCGAAGTTGTGCGTTTGTTGCTCGAGGCTGGGGCCGACACACTTGCAGCAAAAGTAACTGGAGAAACGGCATTGCATGTAGCAGCCCGGAATGGCCACCTAGACGTTGTCCGATTGTTGCTGAAGGCTAGAGCTGACAACGATGCAGCAAGTAGCCACTGGGCAAGGTCTCTGTTTGTTGCAGCTGGAATGGCCATCTGGAAATCTTGCGGTTGCTGAGGGGATCTGAAGGCTGGATGCAGCACCTGGATGCCACCTGCATGGGACAAGGGGTTTGAGCATTGCACATGGAATGGTCCCTTTGAATTTACCCAGTTGTTGCTGCCGGAGCTATGTTGCAGCAATCACAGATGGGGCAATGGCTTCCTACATGGCAGCTGAGAAAAGCCACTTGGAAGTTGTGCAGTTGTTGTAGTTCTCAATTTCTGGAACAATGAGGCAAGATGCAATCAGAAGTCCTACACAGACAGTCTGGCTGGTGGTTTCAACCTCTACCGTCGTTTACTTGCAATCATTTGGAATTGATTTGATTTCATAATCCCAATGACACACTTCTTGCAGGTCACCAACCAGACACTGTGGATTGCATGAAGCCCGCCCCAACCGTGCGTTTGGAGCCACCCAAGAAAAGACATGGCCCCTGAGTATACAATATACTATGATATAACTAGGAATATGAATATACATCAATATACTTTACCTATAGGAATATAAATATAGATATGAATAGTATATATCTGAATCCTTTTGTACCTTGGAAAATGGGAGGATTTTGTTGGTGCGTTTGTTGGGACTCGTGTCTTGTCGACACTGTGGTGCACTGTGGAGACTCACTCCAGACAGGTCCAGTTCTGTCCCCAAAGTAAGCGCAGAGGCGAAGCAACCGTCCATGGGGAAGCGTAGAGTGTGTGTTCCATCACGAAGGTTTGGCCCCTAAGGCTCCAGTCGTACCTTCTGAGAAGGGACTGGGGTGGGTGGCAGGAGGGTCCAAATACCGTCTAACAGGTTCTTGGAGGCCTAGGGGGCTAGAAAAGTGTCTCACCGAAAGCCTTCTCAGGAATTGGCCTTTGGGCATGGTGCCTTAACCAGCTCTGAGGACGGACGAGACTCGCTGATGTGTGTTCTCGGCGTTCTACATGTTGTCACATGCAGTCGTGCGCTGTAGGAGACTCTCCAGGACAGACAGGTCACGAACTAAGACCTGTTAGGGCTCTTCGTGAGGGTACTTGAATGTGCTGTTCTCTTCAAACGACTGCAGCATCCAAGATATGCCTCAGGGCTCGGTAATCAAAACGGAGGTAGGCCAGGAGCCCTAGGGATGAAATGATATGAATACCTATGGTGCTTTCCCCTATGTCTTCCAGGACTTGGTGGGTTATCACCACTTCCATTTCGATCGGCAAGACCCTCATAGCACGGCGGCTGCCCTGGACACTTGCGCCTTGGAGTGACCGCAGAATCTGCAGTGAACCCGAACGAAACCAGTTGGATCTAAAACGGAAAAAAACAACGTGGGTGGTTTAGAGTGGATTACAACATAGTAGAACCATCCGTATATTTAGGGTCTGTCCCATTACCTGTAACAATCAGTAAACAATTATTATCATTTTTGAACAAGGCCTTTACTAACCATCATCATCCACTGTTACAGGTAGTAGGATAGACCCAAAGTATATTCCAGTATCCCTAAGGGTCCATGACCATCCGAATCGGATGTCCAAACTGGTCCAGTGAAGACCATTCTCTGGAACTACGTACGAAAACCTTTGTTCGGCCATCCGAAAAAGAGATTCAGATACCTGGACCCTATGGGTTCAACAGATCACCGAAGTTCCGTGCCTGAAAGAGCATGAAACTAAAGAGGTGTTCAGTGTTCCGATCTTCCTCCGTTCCCGAACATTTGCGTTCTTTCTGTCTCCATATGTCCGTGTTACCCTTATGTTTTTGTCCGAAAGAGGTTTGTACAGTAATAAGAGAAAACGCTGTGCGGCCCTGCTGCACACGTGTCCGACAGCTGGGTTGGATCGAGGTCCCTCACAAAACCCGTGGGATAGGACAGTGAGGATCGCCTCTTCAGGTATGTGAAGAGCCTCTGAAATTGGAAGTGAACATGTTCCCTTTCAAACATACCCCTATACACCCCTTTTCTGTAAACACGCAAGGTTGTTTTCCATGTTCCCCCTGAGTGATATCTGTATTTGCCCCTGTGAGTTGCCAACCAACCCCCTGGAACTAAACCTGAATTTGGAACTTGAGCTAGAAGTACCAGCACCCTCACTGCCCACGGCCCAAAGAAGAAGACCTCTACAGTAGCTAGTAGTGACTCTAGTAGACTGGGTGAAACAAGTTTAAAAGGAGACTTCGTCCAACTGCCCCTTCTTCAATGCCCTTCTTCCCGCGGGCGCGGGTGTAGACACGCCGTTCGCGCGGCGAAGTCCACGGCGCCCCACTCAGCCACGGCTCGGCCGCAGGTACCGATGCTCTCTCCGTGCTTTGGGGCCCCAGCCTGTGGCCGGCACGTGCTCGCGAGGTGATCGCCGCCCTGGTGGAGGAGGAGCGAACGAGCGAACGAGCGGAGGGGTTGCCTTGGGGGTTTGGAACGTGTGGAGATTGGAACCATCTGGAACCTCAGACCAAGCACCTCAAAACCTCAAAGCCTGAAGTATGTGTGTTTTTTTTCCTGTCGCCCGTCATTTCAGTTTACAGCGATGGATGGCAAAGGGTTTTCCATGTGCGCCAAGAAAAGAGCTTAACAGGTCTTTGGCCACAGGTAGGTGGATCAAGAATGACATCCTTTTCAATCGACAATTGTATGCCTAAGTGCATGTCCATCGATTCCTGGTGCCATGTGTTCTGCCATTGGTTGATGTTTGCCCAGTTTACCCAGTTGTTTTTCCACTGCCTGTTGTTCTACATTGCTTGGTGACCTCGGTTGGAATGGTGTAATGCTTTGGCGCCGCACGTTCTTTTCGGTGCTGGCCGCCGAGAGGTGGCGGCCTTGAGCACTCTGGTGGCCTCTGTGGGGTGGTGGCAGGCGGGGCATGGTGAGTTCTAACACGAGCTTTGGAGCTCGGCAGATGTCCCCAAAGGGAGGCACCGAAGGGACAGAGTGGCAGCAAGAGGTCCTCAGCAGTCTTCACCCTGGTTAATCTGCAGGTTTGTCACTAATCCCGAGTACCTAGAACGGACTCCCATTTAAACAAAAACATGTCGGAGTCGGAAAGATTCATTATTAAATTACCGCCCTATAAAACCGCTACTAAACTACAAACATGGCCGATTTTGGAGCATGTGTTTAAAATAATTAGGTTCAAAAAACAACCGTAACTGAAACTGCCCACCTTTGTCCACCCTGTCTATCCGCCATGACACGCCGTGTTTACACCAGCAGGCTTTCCTTCCCCCAATGGCACGGACTCACGCAAACGCACTTTCCACCGAGGTCACGCAAAACCGCATGGCACAGCGACATCACCTTTCAAAAGCTTTAGTTGTTAGTCTAATGAAAAATCACTATTCTAATAAAGGTTTTTGTAGGGGAAAGGAAGACCCTTCGATCTGGAGGTTCTTTGAAGTTTTGATACGAGTTTAAGGATTTCATCTAAAATTATACTAGGTGACTTTTTTGTTTTGAAGCCCTTCCCACATGACCCTATTTTGGACCCCCACCCCGATTTCAGGAACCCCTTCTGTAAAAAATGCGACCGAGGCTTCCTTATCGGACAGGATTACAAAAATTAGCCAGTCGCGTGTCCACGTTTCATGGGGTGTTTTTTCAACAAGTTTACACCTATCTGCGGTGAATGAGATCGTTCTTGATGGCGCGAGCACGTCATCAACCTGTCAACTTTGATCCCATAGACCTTCTCAGAAAGGTACTTGAAGCCTTGTGGCGCCTGCGTAAAAGTGTCGAGCACATCACCCTTTCATGGGGTGGCAGTGGATGCATCGGAGAAGGTTTCTATCTGGGAGTGTCCGCATCTACATGGAGCAATCCTTCGTGTATCGAAGGAGTTGCAGGTAGATTTGCTCTGGCTCGAGCATAGCACGGATGAACTTCGGAATTGCACGTTTGTCCATAATGTGGGTGTGTGAACCATGCAACCATATGCATAGGAGAATCTACATGGTGGGCGTGAATAGAATTTCAACATGAGATCTGTTGAACAAATTGGAAAGAAACGCCGCGTGGAGGATGTGTTTGTATGAGTTTTCTCCGTCACCAGGTAACAAACTCCCAAGTTCACCATGGACTGATATGTACTGCTGAGTCCCCGTCAGAATCATCACCATTTTCAAGAAACGACCCATCCTGTGTTTCTGCTGTGGTTCCACTGTTTAGGCATGTTTAGGCCTTCGTTTCTGCAGGCTGACCATGTTTACGCCTTCGTGTGCAGCGGCCGCAGCTTGCCACAATGGCGCGGGGCCATTCGGAAACACGGGGGTCTGGATGTGCAGATGTGCCTTGGAAAGCACGGCGGATGCACTCCACAGAGAGTGGTCCTTCGGGTGTCCTTGGTGTCCTTTTGGATGTCTTTAACATCACCAGGCGGGCCACCCAGGAGTTGATGGTGCCGTGCAGCTCAATTGAACATCACCCACTTTGTGCCACGCGCAGCGAAAGATGATGTTGAGATCCAAGCGTCAACATCGAGCGAATGCTTGAGACATGATCGTTGTTTTTGTTTGTTCTGAAGCAGTGCATGCCAAAAGGGGACATAGGTCTTCAGAAGCTTCATTCTTTCATCAAAAAGAGCAGCATATAATATACGGAGGGTCCAAGTAGAGAGCCTCTATCCATTAGATACAATTGACCACTTTCTTCCTTGCACCGGATTCAAGCCTCTCAGGCACTATTTGCACATCCTCAATATGAGTTCAGCAACTCCAAGGCCTGTTGTGCAAAACGGAATGCCTCACTCTTCGTTGGTTTGTTTGGTTAGTTGGTTCGTTGGATTGCTGATGTCAGCTTTGTTTTGCATTTTGTTTAGCCAGTTCGATTGGTTCCCAAAGATACGAAACATGCTGTAACTCATGATGTGGTGCTGCTAGTTTTGTTTCTCCATGCCTTTTTCAGATGGGCTACACGATCCACGATTCACGCCCCAATTCTTGAGATGAAGCTACCTTCGCAGCTCTACTTCTTGGTACTTTCTTATTTTTCAAGTAGACACACTAGCCCAAATTTCAATAAATGAGCCCCAGGTCTTCTTGGAAGGAAGCAGGTTTTGTTGCCATCGAGATCCAGCGGTGAAATGTGTGCCCATTTAAGTCAAAGGGTGACCGATGATGCATACATTTGGGGATTTGTGGGGGTACTTGTCACGAGATGCTCGTGCCACGAAAAGGTCCGTTTCCGACACGTGTACTTTACCAGCAGCTTGATACTTTCGCAGTACTCTAGATTGACAGGATAGCCTTTTGAAGGGGAAAGCCAGAAACAGCAAGTCAAATCAGACAGCAACACCCAGTGCCACCCATTTCGGATGGTTATTGGATATAGCAAAGCCATATAGTCACAAGGAGCCTACAATACTATAAGCCAAAACCACCCAGTTCACTCGGTGGTGGACCTACCTCGGACTAGCTCTTTGTTTCTTGTTTCTGATCTGACTCATGTCACTCATGTCCATCCAATTTGTTGAAAGCGCTGTAGCGCTTGGAAATATGTCCGAAAGGATTTGCAGCTTCTAGCTACTTGTAATAACGCCCTTGTTACTAGTAGCTTCTTGTTGCTAGTAGGAATGCCAGGAGCTACTAGTAGCGTCCTTGATACTATAGTAGTGATGCCCTCGTTACTATATAGTTATATATAGTAGTTTCTTGTTCCTATAGTAATGCCAGGAGCTACTAGTAGCTTCTTGTTTATGCTTGATTCCTGGCTTCTTCCAGGCGCTTCGTCTCCGAGCCCTTTGACCAGGCAGCCTTCTTTCCTGCACCCATCCTCACTGAGGTGCGGGATGGGCTTGGATGGATGAGTTTGGACGGTCGGGACAGTGTTTTGATGTGTAGACTGGTTTATAAGACTCCACGTGTGTAATGCAGTGGGTAACCGAGTGGGTAACCCAGTGGGTATCCAGATATGTTGAACCTCGGAGTATGTCAATGATTCCGGACAAAGTGTTGTTTTCGTGATTTTCGAGATGTTCTCCTTCTATGTCACTCGAACCTTTGCATGTGAACAAATGTTCTCCAAAAGTAGTTTTGCCAAAGCATGTTGGCTCTAAATGGCACGTTATATAATTGATTGAATACAACTCAAAGATGCATCAAAACAAGTCATCTCCTACTTGACATTGCTTCCTTTGCCCTTACATCCCTGACATTCTTTTGGACATCGTTTGACGCAAAAAGAACATGGCCCGTCGTGCGACCGCTTTGTTGCCTTTGCTCGTGGCATCCTATTGCCTGTGCTGGTCCTTACCGAGCACGAGCGAGCCTCGGCAGCCCAAGCAGCAGACCCGCGCACTGTCCCCAACCTCAGAGCTGGCTCCGGTGAGTCTAACGACAGCGGCAAGGGATGGGCATGGGCACAATGCGCTCACAACAGAAGCAGAGTTGGCAGAATCTTGTTTGAAGTTCAGATGTAAGTTCGGAAGTTTATGGTTACATAGTTACTCTAGGCCCTAGGCAAGGCTTGAGGAAAAAAAAAACTTGAATCAAGAGTCTTGAACAGATACAATAACAGTTGGGTCGACATCACTCTTCGCGGCTAGGCATATCTCAAATGGTTTCTAGTTGCCTAGCTTTTCGCACCCTGTTTACAAGGCAAGGCTCTTGTATGTGTTTTTTTTGTTTGTTTGTTTTTTGTTTGTTTGTTTTTTTACATATGACATGTGTTCAATGTTTCTTCTGGAAGAACAGCTTTGAAGCAAAATAAAGAGTGGCACATTGCGGAAGCCATAGGAAGAACCACAACAAGTAATTTACAAGAAGTGCCGACCCATGTGCTGAAACAACCGCACCTGGTTGATGTGTCTCTCCAACTTGTCTGACCCAGGCGCGCTTGGAGCGCAGCCACGGGCAGGGTGACAAGCTTTTGGTGGTCGACTACTACGCTTCTTGGCGAAGAGACGGGGAGAGATGACGGAGAGCCATCTGGCCAGCTGGCCACAGATTCTTTCCGGCGCCCAAGGTCCAAGGTCGCCACAGACCCGATCCAACGGTCTGGTCCTTTTCACCTGGATCGAACGCATGGAGGTTCATGATGCAATTCTTTGGGGAGGGTTGGACAATGTCTTGCCACATTTGCACTGCGAATCTGTTGTTTTAGACAGGAGCCAATCAGAACAAGTTCTTTTTGCATTGGGTTGGGGCTTTGCTGCAAAGAGATTCCACAGATGGGAGCATGGTCATCTTAGAATCTGTCTCAAGAGACAAAGATTGTTGCAAGACAGAGTGCTGGTAGTAGCTGTCTTGAACATTTAGGCCCGAACGCTCCTGATGAACGTGAAGGATGTGAGAGGTGTAGGCCCACATCCATACATAATATATGTTCGCTATCATCACTTGTTGTCGGCAAATCTTACATTGTTTACAGTAGACCAGACATGTTTTCTTGCTTACCTGGACACCAGGTAGCTTTGTATCACCAGCTGATTACTTTTCCTTCCGCATGGCTTGATATGGAATCGTTTTCTCATGTCCGGTCCGACACGCGGAGATCGGAGATTACTAGGTGCTGCTAGGAACACCCCAAGGTGTGTGGAACACCCCCATGCTTTGTTTTGTTTTTGCCGATAGCTTGATCAGCTGTGGATGGCTGGCAGTGTCAGGCACCTTGGTGCAAGAACTGTCAGAAGATGCTGCGTGACCTGGGAGGGCTGAAGCAAGTCTTTTTTCTTTTCCACCGGAACCGTCCGTTCTAATTACAGTAGAGAATTCGTAGGAAACCCATGGTCGAAGCACTTGGGTTGTAGGGGAATAAAAGGGATGGATATGGACCGATGTTGAGTCAATCCCTAGAAGCGCCCTTGTTGCGTAGGATATGGTAGGATGACCACCCCCCCACGCGAGGAGCTTTGACCATGGACAAGGAACTATGTTTACAACGCGTTTTGCAGTTTGTTGATCTGTAGATGTCAATCCAAGGATACATGCAGAAGATCTCCCAAGAAGAGATGCTCGGACATCATATTCAAAAGCGCCATACATGTATGATATCGATCCACAGATCTCGCTCAGAGTGAAAATGGTTTGCTGTTCACAACCTGGGGAATCTATTTATATACATGGATAATATATAGATACTGACTTGATACCATATATAGATACTAGCTACTGACGTAAAGTTTTGTCAGATATATACTGACCTGCATCTTTCAACGTACATGTTTGCTCCCTAACATCATCCAGTCTATACTCTTTACATTGTGGACTGGGGTGCCACAGCGATGTGGCTGAGTGCGGGCTTTTGGCTCTGGTCGAACACACCAATTCCCCAATCACAAGCCCAGTGGAACTCACGTGCCAGGAGATGAGCTTGATACAGATTGACACTAAAAACTATGAAAACACGGTTTTGGAAGAGAATAGAGGGTGAAGAGTCTGAATATGTTGAGATTATCATAATACAGTAAGTCTTTGGTTTCTCAGATAGATCTCCATTTGTTGGGGACTGAAGCTGCTTCGGACAGGTCAGATGGTCGGACGGTCGGACGCTCCGACGTGATCGTGGGTCGTTCGAGGAAGTTCCGTCACGTGGAGTTCGTGTCGGTGGACTTCGATGCCTCGGAAGAGCCACTTGGGCCTTTTGGGGTGAAGTGCCGTGAAGCCGATGGGGTTCCGAACATGGTAAAGCCGGGTGCGACTGGTTGGGGTCATGCGAGAATGGATCCATTCATATCCATTCCCTATCCGGACTCATGGGACCTGTCTCTCATTAAGGTCTCCTTTGTCCCCTTTTCTTTTTTTCTGGATTGACAAGTGGATTCACCTGCATTTGTTTTTGACCTTTGAAAACACGCCCCAGAAAAGGAAAGGGTGGAGTTCGTTGCTCACCTTTTACCAGGGTAGTTCGGTGCACGAGCTACGATTCGATGCTGGTGAGTGGGCGGTTTTGGATGTGAAGGAAGGGGTTTGTCCTTACCCTCATGAGGATGTGGTTGGAGCTCCTGGAAACTCAGAACCGGAGTGGCCCCCCTGCTTTGGAGATCTCAGCTTTCCACCAGAGGACAGTTGTCGAGGATTCCAGAAAGTCCAACTCACTTGTTCAACGTGCTTTGAGGATTCCGGGAATGCGGGTTGAGTCACTCTTGAGTCCTATAAACAGGAAACAAATCACACACCAGCTGCTTTTGTTCGTGGTCACCAATGGACAATGTTGCACTACTTAACTACTTACAGGTCTTTCATGGTCTCCACTAGACACCCACCTTATGGAAAGCGCTATATAAGATTATATAAGTATATATCGTCCGCAAACACCTTCAGCTTGTGCTCAAAAGGGAAAACACCCACACAGCGGCGTGCCGTCGCCGCGGTGCCGGGCGCCGGTCGAAATGAGGTTGGTGAAGAGTCGCCGCGTGAAGCTGCTTCCCACCATGGAGATCTACCGGGGTCAGGAGAGATCTACCGGGCTTGTGATGCCAGGTACAACCCGGACACCCAGCCAGGTACGTGTCTTCCTCCCACTATACATGTTCAGTTAATAACCAAGGTCCCCCTGCAGCCTGGGTTGAAATCACGTCCTTTGTTCGGTTTGGTGCGAGTGGTGGGCGGTTTTTTTGTGGGTGGCTCGGGGTGGCAGCGGCAAGACGGGGGATGGCTGTGTTATGCTGTAAACAAATATGGCTTCAAGTTCTGCCAAAAATATGTGATCAGTGATCAGTGTCATACACTGATTGTTGTTCACATAAGTTGGTTGTTGATGTTCTTCCGAGCACGGATAAAAAAGGCCCCTCATTCTTGTCAGACAAAACCATGCCACGAGCAGAATCATTGTGACTCAACTCTTAGTGTTTCGATTTGAGAATGCTACAAGTGAACCTCTTCCGCACGTAGTCTTTCGTCTCAGACGGCAGAAGGGTTCAGCACCAGGACATCCCTCCAAGCAGTCTTAGTTCCACTTTCATGTAGGGTAGGGAGGGAGGGTAGGCGCTGGCGCGGGTCGATTGCCAGGACTTAAAGCAGCGCTGGAGCGGGTCGAACACCAAGAGGTTTCTGCAGCGCTTGGAGAATGAGGTCGATCTGCCAGAAGGCCAACTGAGAGCTTAGCTGAACGACCTGCAACGAGTGGGCGAGCCAGTGACCTTGCAAGACCCCGTCACCTAAAGTTGGTCCGGGTTGAAAAAGATCCAGGTCCTGCAGTTGGTGGAAACATTGCAAGTTGAAGATGTTGAAGTGGCACTGAAGGACCTTAGGCACCTAAGAATTGGTTCAGGTCAAAGTAAAGTTTGGGTGTTTTTCGTTGGCCCACCCTGAGTGGAAAGTGCTTTTTTGGCCTTGGTTTTGTCAAGCCTGATTGGACCTGAACACATGGCATGCAGATATTTGCCGCAAGGGATGAACGCCACTTCCGTGCGGCCTTCTGCTTGGTTGGAGGCCTCGTGTTTGTTACAGTAGCTGCGTTGCTGGTCCAAAGAATGCCCTAAACCCTAACATCAGGCACAAGAAACGGGGTCCACACCAGCAGAAGGGAACAGATGTCCAATGTTCTGGTCCCCTTTTGCAGCAGCTCTGTCGGAATCTTCTGACAGTCCTTTTGCTGCAAGTTTTAGTAACGTCGTCCTGAAGAGGCAAACTAACCGTACCGGACAGATGTGAAGATTTACCTCTTAACATCCAATTCAGTCGACATCGGACGTTTGCCCATGTCTTTGCTTTTCCCGCGCTTTGGCGAGGCTGAGATTGGTGGGGCGAGTTGGTACCGGTATCAGAGAGGTAGGCCAAAGGCCCAAAGGCCTCTCACCGGGGTAAGACCGCTGAAACGATTCATGTCCGAAACTCGGGTGAAGACCCCAATCCCTCGAATTAAACTGACCCCACACATTCAGAGCTTCTTAAAATGTCTTCAGAGTGACGTTTCCACTAAGAGCAGAGGACTGTTGCACAAGACCTGCCAGGGTCGTTTCCTGTTCAAAGTGAGGGATTGAAGACTTGCTTGCACTGGGGCATGGAGCGAGGCGGTAGGCCGGACGTCCTGAAAGCACACACTTCAGCTTCGACCGAAGCGATTTCAGCCGATTCCTGTGTTCGCTTCGGACCAGGGAAGAGAAAAGCTCCAGCAAAACACATCCTCGAGATCAACGCAGATTAGAACGCGCTATAAATGAGTATCATCTAACTAACGGTACGACGATAATATCGTTTTTGACACTGGTGGAGGAAGCCCGCAGAGGAAGATGGTGGCACATGGGTGGCCGTATTTCAACGGGGGGCGTTCAAGGCTTTCATCTTCCCGGACCGTGGTGGAACACACACACGGAGGGCTGCTCCAATGAATTAGACATGCCCGGACCGTGACCGTGGAGACGCTTGTTGTTCACAGGAATCATTGGCTGAGAGTACTGTATTTTAGACCAGTTAGTAGACCAGTTATAAGTTTAAGGAAAACATGTTTGCATGAATCTTCAGGATGGTATTGTTGGGCAACCCGGGAATTGTTTACTACATTCAATGACTTTATGTGATTGTGATGCAGCAGTAAAGCAGCAACGTCGATATGTTCACGCATGCGCCTGCATGTTGAGATGCTTTGCAGACAAAACAACTACTTGAGAAATCCAAACGCGAATTGCAAACGAGGCATGTTCATTGTTCATAGCTGCTGCTGGTGGTGAAAGTCCAACACGAGGCAGCTGAAAGTCCCAAGAGCAGTCCTTCACCGTCATGAGATCACCAAACCAAGCACGCACTCTTCACGTCCTGACTCACGTCCTTCACCGTTGACTGTGCACATCGACCGAAGAGCTCCGTCCGTAACTCGCCGTCTCCACGAGGGACAACGATCGACGCCTCTCGATCTTCCCAGACACCGCGGCAGTAACTCCGCGTGGCTCGGAGGGCTTTTTGCGAAGAGCCTCCGGGTAATTAGGGGTTGCCTGCAGCATCCGGTTGCTGGCTCTTATGTGAAATATAATAGCCATGTAGGATTCCCCTATGAAATGAGGGGGGTGCACGGACTTCAGAAAACGTTTCATGCCTACCCCTGTGCGGGGGTGGGGTCTTGATTCTATAGAGAAAATCTAGTTTGCAGAGATGGGTTGTCAGTTTTGGCAAGCAATCATGCTTGATTGCATGATCAATCAGACGCAGAGACACATTTGATACCTGAAGTTTGGGAGCTGCTATCACTTTTTGAAGGGTAGTCTTTGAACAGGTAGTCTTTGAACGCAGGAAACAGAGAATCAGACATCACAAACTGAGGTGGGGCCCGGCCATTTTATATAAGTGGTGGGGTAGGTCCCTCCCCCAAAGTATACTACATGGGGGGGTCACCCCTCAACACTTTACATCTATAAAATGGCCCACAGGTCCCCCCCTGCCGTATCCTACACGGCTATGAAATATATGTGAAACTGTGAAAATCAATCATTTTGGAAATTCCGCACATGAAATATCATGAAATCATGAAACTCAAGATTGGATGAGATGGGTACCACCATGTACCACCAACCCAAAAGCAGCTGGTGCATCTCTTCGCCTTTTTGGTTCATGAAAAACTCATATCAATCAACATGACATGCCACTAACTTGGAAAGCTCCATGCGCTAGAGAAAGACATGCAGACAAAATCTTCACGAGTCCCAGCTGGATGCTGAGTAGAACCCTGGAGTCAAGGTTTGTTAGCTTTGCCTTAAGCCGCGTGGAGGGGCGTGCAACTGCATGCATCCAACGTCAAACAAGTTGCTCAACAAATGCGCTGGTGCTGATGTGCGGTTGAACTTTCATGTAGAGCACCATTTGACTTCTCGTGTGTTGTATCCTGAAGATGTACAGTACAAGTACAAGCCATGTTTGTATATATGCTTGTTAGCCACCAGCTGTTAGTGTCACAACAATGGCATGTTCACGGTGCTTTGATGGATTTTCCATCTCCTGTACTAGAACAAAATCAACCATGATCACAACTAATAATGAACCAACATGTCAGCCTGGTCACTGAATCAGCTAAGAGGTTTTCTGATTGTACCGACACTTGAGCCAAAAGGTATGTGTACATAACGGTCTTGGAGGTTGAACAAGAAATCTTCAGTGAGTGTTCATTTGGGGTGACCACAGGATGGAACAGTAGCGCTGGGATGCAGGATAGCCCGAAGTACAACACCCCCCCCCAGAACTCCTGGCTCAAATGCCAAAGACCATTTTCAGCAAAGCCATATATAAATAAGTCACCATGTGGGATTGAATTGAGCCAGTCAAGTCTCATTGCCAAGCTCTGCCCACCAGGATGATGCAATGAAGCTGCCCCACTCGAAGCGTTTACTGCCAGCGCGGCATGCGCCGCAGCGCGAAGCGGCTGGATCCAGGTGAGAGATGGTGAGAGCGATGCAGGGGGTAGGGACATGGTGCAAGAAATGTGTGTGTGTCATGCATATAGAGGGGCCAAGAATGAATTTAATTTGCTTGCTGATATGTTTGAGCGTAGTTGGTCATAGTCAGCTACTTCAGGTTTTGCCTTCTTTCTCGCTGCTGGCAATCACCTTCTAGGAATACCCTGATCATCGCTTGTCCACGCCCTTTTGTTGCTAGAAGAGTTCTTCAAACAAGACTGCAACACCCTCAGTCAGAGGTACAGGTGGTGTAGGAAGATTTCTTTCCTCAGCAGTTCTTGAACAACTTGTAGTACTTGCACCTTACCTCACCATGCCAGTGTTTAAGGGTTTTCTTTGAACCACTGCTTTTTTTGAAGGCATCTACCCCCTCCATCACACCCGAAAACCTACACCCTACACCCTCCAACAGCTATCCTCCTTCAACGAACAGCTTCAGCGCCGGCTCCAACCAGGAGGCCCCTGGCGGATTTGGTGGAACTCTGTCCGGGCGCCGCGGTGGCGCCGCGGCCGGCACGTGGTGGAGCTCGAGCTCCCTGCAGTGACTTCAAGGCGCCATCTCTGGGAGTTCTGGGTGGGGATGGGAGACTGTGAGCTGGTTCAGATGAACGTGAGCTGCTGGTTCAGAGGGTGGTTTTGCAGGGTGTGAGCGGCCTGTGTATACGAGAGGCATGGCATTTCTTTGAGACACACTGTGACACACTGAATTAGTGGAGCACACTGAATCAGTGGAGTATGATTATTTTGTTTGTAGTTTGGCGCTGGCTAGTTGTGTAGCATAAGGATCTCACTTGGACCATGTTGTTTGTGCCTCATCGCTAGACGGGATTTCACTAATTAGTGTGCTGCATGTAAAGCTTGTGTCCCCAGCACATCCAGACGAAGATGGGTCATGGGTGTGTTATCTTGGCTCTGGGAAATACAACGAAAGGTTGCAGGTTTATCATAGGGCTCTTGTGGACCAGAGTAGAACAGATGAACCACGAGTAGACCAGATCAGAAATTACTTTTAGTCAAGTTTTCAGTTTTTTGTGCCAATGCGTTTATTTGATGGAGATATTACGTTTGATGAAACTTTCAGCTGCTTGACCAACAGCGTCTGAGTGCCAACTGGAGGACAGAAACAACCCGTGGCCCGTGGTGTTTGTTTAGATTGAAACAGTTTTGCCCCCCCACACGCTGCTCACGGTGTGATATGCCTGCAACTGCTGGTGGTGCCACTGTCTTTTCTTCCACCAGCACTTATGGACTTAACATACCAGCACCTTCATGTCCGGGTCATCTGGCTGGTTTCGCCCCAGCCCACTACCTAGGGATCTCCAGCCAGGACACCCCATTCTTTCAGGCCCAGGTACATTATCCTGAAGATATCATCCTGGTTCTTCAAAGTGACCTTTTCATCTGAGGTCATTGAGGTCACCAACAGGCCTGTAAAAGGTCACAAACAGGGACTCCAAAGATTCCAAAGTTCGGTCACGAACTGAAGAAGCTGGATAAGATCTTTGTGGCTGGGTCATGGCACCGACCTTCGCCCGGCCAGTCCACCACGAGGTCGGGTCAATGGTCGACCGTGGCGATGGTCGACCCAGGTAGGTCTTCCAGGTAGGCCGTTGGTCTTTGTATGGTGATTTCAGATGGCGCCATCGTCAAAAGGTGGTCTATATGGACCCACATGATAAAGACATTTTGGGGTTTTGCCATCTATTCCAAGATTCTGACACCACTGCATTTCGATGTTTTTCTTTTGCAACTTTCCCTCACTTAAAACGTGGATCCTTCCTCAGGCAAAGATCCTGAAACACAGCTGCCGGGAAGGCCTGGAATGTCAAGACCATGGAACCATGGACAGGGCGGGTGACCGGCAGGACCCTTTCTGGAAAAGAATCACGGACACCGAAGGAAAGGGCTGTTATATGGTCTGGAAGAGGGTGTTTGGAGTTGCCAGGGTTTCGTTCAGCCTTCACCTTGGTTTCCTTGGTCTACCATTTTGGAAGCGCGAAGCTTCGCGCATTTTCAGGGTTTCCCGTGGGGCGGCAAGAATCTTGCGGAGGTAACCCCACCATTCCTCGTCGCTTTGGGTAGCGGGTAGCACACAACATGTTCTTGCTCTAAAAAGCAGCAGATCTTGAGTTGGTTGTCTTCTGTTTTCTGTAGTCTTCTTCCCACTACCATGATACAGTACTGGAGTTACTTGGGGGGGGGGCACGTCATGAACTCCCTTCTTCTCAGACCGCCGCAGGGAATCCGCGCGAGCGCGTGGAGCACATCGGCGCGGAGGGCTTCGCAGGGGTGGCCTGCTGGGCACCACAGCAGTGCCCGGCTGCACATGGCGATTCTGACGATTCTGCTTGTCACAGTCATGGCCAGACCCCCTTCAGACACAGATTTGTTTTTGATCGTCTTTGTTGCAAACACTGGTGGTTGTATAGGTGCTCCTGAGTTTAGTTTTTTTTTTTTTTAAACCCCCGCCAAAAGAAAAACATGCTGTTACAATGCTGTTTATTGAAATGTCTTAATTTTGCCATGGCTGTCCACAGGGTGTTGAACCACCTCGGGGCATCGTTTTGTTTCAATGTTCGATTTGATCAGCTGATCTCAGGTTCTGCTTCTCCGCACTGCTGCCAAGGACAGTGCGGTGGGGAAATGCGAGGAGTATCAGAAAGAAAGACCCTGAGCAAGAAAACCTCGAAGGCTCAGGATTAAGTTTCTTTAATATAAATAACATGTGCAAAAAAGTAGGCAGGTCCAAGAAAGATCATATATGTTCTGAGATTCTGAGGGCAGCAAGACCCATGCTTTTAGGATTGACTTGTACTTTGTGTTTGCTATCCCCACACCCATGAGTCTAACTAAAGGAGAGAACAAATCATGTCACCAGTTTAACTAACATGTTCTTTGAAGGATAGATGTTAGTCCCGCTGTTCCCCTTGGAGTGCAGCGGATCCACACGGTTTTTCGTTTTCTTTGAGCGAGAAACCGACCACGGACGCACCGGGCGCTCAGTCAACATGTGCTGAAACGGTGACCGGGCCCGTGAGGAACCGCACTTGGCAGATCAATCAAGAGAGTGGCGTGGCGCCAGCAGCGAGTTTGGTCCGATGGGTCGAGGTCGGATGGGTCGGATGGCTTGGACTGAAGGCCCATCCAGCAGCTGGAGACCGAGGGCGTTTGGCTCGGTGTTTGCGGTGTTCAGCCTTTGTACACCTTGAGACCTGCATGCCGGGCGTAGCCAAAGACAAATGTATACATTCCAGGATCTTCAAAGTTGCCTTGTGAGATCCCAGGATGAGGTCACTTTAGGCCTGTAAATGGTCACTTAGACTAGAGACTCCAAAGCTTTCACTATTGAATTTTGCTTGACATGTGATCATCAAAGTTCGAGGACCTTGGAAACAAAATGATAGGAGCTTTGCAAAGTGACCAGGGTTGCACTGCCCTTGATTGGTCCGCTATCAATTCTGCATGACAGTCCTTCCTCATAGCAACACCTTCTCTTCGATTTGGTTCCTTGACATGTTCAGTTTGGGATGTGGCAAACATGGGACGGCATGCATTTCAGGCCGGTACCGAGATCTTTCTCAAGGAACTAATCATACTGCCAGGTTGGCTATGCAATGATCATGGCGCATGACAGTCGCTTTTCACACTGTTGTTTTGTGTCAGCTTACACAGAAACTGAAGGATTCATGTTAACTGGGGTGAAGTCCAGTCGGCCTGCAACTTGTGGTAGAACCCATCCCTAACGCTCTCCGCTGGAACCATGTTCATGCCCATGTTTGGATCTGCATCATCCAGCTTCAAAGAGCTCGACTGTTAAACACATAACACATAAAGTGAGATCAGCTTGTCTGGAGGAAGACAATGTTCCCAACCCCTTGCGGATCCAGAGTTGGCATCCAAAAATCACTGGGTCGCTTCTTTCTCATCACCCTTGAGGCATTGCGCAGTGCCTTCCCAGCACGGCCACCTTCTACCACGCGCGGCGCATCTGCCAAGCTTTAGGTGCAACAAAAGCCGTGTTCCGCGCCGAGTGGTCATGATGGGCTTGACCGGTCGTGTTCGGTCCCGGTCTTCGATCGCGGATCGGTCAAGAGAGAGAGAGAGAGACGGTGAGAGGGACGGTGGTCGCACGCGACCGATGGGCCTGGCCTTGCAAGGATGGCTGGAGGACTGGCTGGAGGTACCTGTCAAAGCTCCTGGAACATGGTGAAGAGATATGAAGACTTGGATTTTGAGATAGCTCCGCGGTCCTGGTTAATCAACCTCCCACTTGAATGGGCCACTAACAGTGCCACCCATGAAAGACCCGTCCATGTCGAAGAGAACGAACGCGGTCTCTTTGACACCCGCGAAGAGACCGAAGACACCGACATGGACCTGCAAGGGAGACGATGGGACCTTCATTCCAAGCACGAAAAAGCGGTTGTCAGGTTCCCTGTGGGACTCGGAACCAGGGTGTCACTGGAAAAAAGGGAAACAAACACCTCTTGCTCCAGTGGCCAGTGGCACGACTCCAACAACCCAACTCCCCCTTCCCACCGACGTGGACCGACCTCGCGCCTCGCGGAGTTCGTGGCCGGAGGCGCCTCGTTGGCCACGATGGAACAGGTCATCGAGTGTTGCTCCATGGGATGCATTGGTCTCATGCGTGTGTGGCTGCAGTCGGACGCCTGGGCATTTTTCATGTCGGACCGGGCGGGGTGAGAGGAAGCGTTTTTTGTTGTTTTTCGAGGAGGAAAGATCAGGAAAGCTACACCAGAGGATAGAGATAGGAAACGGTGAGTCAGGAAATTGGTCAGGTTTGGGAGCAAAGGATGGAAAAGTATGCGGAAGAGTTTGCATGGTCGATGAGGTTGTTTTGTTTTTCTCCTTTCTGGTTGGCGTTTTGTGGATGAATCCCTTGGGTGTGGTTTACTTGGGGTTGGGTGCTGTTAGGTGTTTTGGACAAGAAGGTGTTTGAGTTGTTTCTACGTCGGTCAGCATAAAGGAGAGAGATGGTGAAGCACTTTGATGTGGGTGTCACGGTGTCAGTAGAGATCATGAGATCCTAGCAATGACAAGTGGAATATCTACCTGGTTTTGCTTAGGATGATGTGTTATTTCCCATGATGAGTGAATCCACATTCTAGTGATTTTGTGATGCTTTTCCTGGATCCTCAAGCAAATCCGAGCATATCCCCATGGCGCCAAGGGTTTTGCACCGAGCCTCGATGCCCAGCACCTCGGTGTGGGTCTCCCAAGCAGCGCTCAGGATGTCCCCGAGTGCTACGAGGAATTCGATTCGCCCATGGAGGCCTTTCCCATCGAGGACCCGGGCTCCGGCGTTTCCCCGAGCTGCTTGGATGGAAGAAGCGGTGCCTACTGATTGTTTTTTTTTTTCCAGGTTTATGTGGTTGAGTGTGGTGCTTGTACTGCGCCTGCTGAATCGGCTGATGCGGTTGAGTGTGGTGCTTGTCAACAGGGTCTGACCTCAGTGATTAGTGTGTGCAAACAACAGATCCACACCAGTGGTTCTGGCTCGGTGGGAGCTTTAACTACTCGGGGCAAGGGATCTAGAAGCATGGTGTCAGGCCTGTACTGTAGCCCTCACTCGCGACTAGTCAAGCGCATGAGCTCCCAAATTCATGCATATTCGTCAGCGGATGGATCTAGTTACCAGGAGACCCTAACTAACTAACTATAGCTATTATGCGCGGTGAAAAACTACCATGCCTTTTGTCCAACCACATCCCTTTGGTTCTCCTCATCGTAGTGTGTCATGAGCTGTCACATGATCTGTCACATACGATCCATCGTATTGGGTCCCAACGAACGAGATGATCGGCCCAAACCATTCGCCTACCACCAAGAGCATGCCCTCCCACATGTCATGTCGGTCTTCAGTTCCCGACTCCCACCCAGATCCACCAAAACCGGGACACCCCACTGATAATGCACAGGTGAAACAAGTATGAAAGACTGCCCTACGCACCCAAATCCTATAAATTGTAGGGTCGATGGAAAAACCTAGGGTTTCCAGGTGTTCCAAACCAGTACTAAAATACGGGTTTAGTACGGGTATGTACGGGTTAAATATGGGTTTAGTACGGGTTAAATATTGGTTTAGCATGGCTTAGAAAGACAAGAACCGAGGTTTTAAGAACAAACCTGAGGTATTTTTGATTTCACAAGAATACCCGAGGTTCTGATTGAGACCCTATAGGGTTTGGTTGCGTAAGGTAGTTTACTGCAACCTTTTGCTTTTCTAACTCCCGGTTTCCCAGCTCGGGAGTGGATTTCCCAGCTAACCAAGACGTGTGCTTGCGATGTATTCCCTTGAACAGCTGTAGGTGAGCCCTTGAAGTGGCAGGATCAACAAGGCGCGCGTGACCGGTCTGCGACCTGCCGACAGAGACGAAGAAGCCCCGCCAGAGATCGGGTGGTTGATGGGCTGTGTGGAACAGGAGCCAGTAGATCAACGAGTTTTACTGTACCCTGCATAGCAGGGGTTTGACCCTCAAAACCTTCACCTTTGAGGGTCCTTGATTCTTAGGGTGGTTTCCATTTTCCATGATGATTCTTTCTTGTTGGAACAACTGCTAACTGCTGGCGAGTGTTTGCTGAGAGTGTTGGTGAAATTCTGGCCATCAACGGTGCTTCACTCTCAGGTGTTCATTTGTTGTTGAACATATATTGCAAGTTATCATTAAAAACATGTTAGTTCATGTGACATATTAAGCAATCCACCCCAACAGAGTGACACCATGTTGGGTCACTGGTGTATCACACCAGACTCATCACTAACCTGGTGGACACCCCGGTGAACCACAGATCCACCGCGGTGCCCGGAGGTGCTTGGAACATGGTGCCTGGAGTGCCTGGAGCGTCGGGTGAGGATCTATCTAGGAACCCATTCATCCCTGTTTTCATATAGAAAAACACTAAGAACAAACACATTAATTCAACACACTTTTACAGTGTCGTTGGTGGTCCAAAATAGATCATTCATTCCGCTTCCATTCAGTAGGACCTCAAGACGTTTCTTCGGACTCCTCTTCCGCCAGGTCTGGCCGAGACGTTTCTTTCTCAGCACGAGGAAGCGCGAGGGACCCGGATCCGCTGGCGAGAGCGGAGTTTCAAGGCGCAGAACCGTCGCTGAAAAAGAAAAGGAGCCGAGCCGCGCCGCGCGGTTTCCGCCGCGGAGCCCAGCGACGCATGAACAGCTGCGCAGCGTCGTGGAACGAGTGGAAGGCATCAAACCGAAACACAGATGCATCGCTCAGGAAATGGATCCAGGCAAAGCACAAAAAATGTAGTCGATCAGTGGGTCCAAAGACTTAAGCCATGGACCAACCTAGAAACCCTGGTTGATTATGTACTCGTGACTCGTGGCTGCCGGGTATCCACTGGGGTACGGAAATCTCTCCCCCAGGCCGTCACGAACCTGGTGGGTGTGGGTGTGGCCGGATTCGGCTATGCGGTGGGCAAGGCTGGGTGACGGCAAGGCTGTGCAGTCGGGTCATCATATAGGAAAGTACCTGGAGCAACATTTTCATGCCCAAAAAATGCAATGGGCCATAGGTCAAAAAAACTGCTTTTTGGAGCTGTAATGCAAACCAGTTACGTTTTTGACTTTTTAATTTTTTGTGCTCTTTGGGGATCTTGACCTGCACCTGGTGCAACAGGGGACAATACCGGTGCAGGATTTAGTAAGCCCTACACAGCAGACTCTCCAGTTCAACTTTGGGCATTCCAACATTTGATGAAGGGGTAACTCTTGGATGCGCTGCAACTTGCAAAGTTTGACAAGCAAGTCTATAGCGGAAATTTGCGGGAATAGGGCGGACATATTGCGGAGACTTGTGGACTGGAAATTTGCAGCCTCACAAACACTTCAGCTTGACCAGGCTGCTTTTTGAAGCCCAATCCTCTGTGCAGAAACCTGAGAAGATTATTTATCCCAGTGAATTTGTGGTCCACGTCTACCTCTCTGGGGACACTCCATCATGACATATGGAATTTTTTCGTAGATATTGCTTTTTGGTCCAGCATGGCCCTTTCTTGTGAAATGAAGTATCACACTGTTTGGGAATTGGGTGGTCCAGGTAGGTCGACGAGGTCATTTTGGATGTGTATGTTTTTTCTGATTAAAGGACAACAACTTAAGTGGAATGTCAAGCCATGGTGGAAGTGTTCAGTCGTTTTGTTTGCCATTTTGCCAAGTGCAGCCGACTTATGAAGATGTTCTATCGAAGGGTCCGATCTGAAGAGTTCCAGGGATGTTCTTTTACATGCCTGTGGATGGGCAGTGTTTTTTTGTTTCTATTCCAGGTGTTTTTGATTTTTTAATAGAAACATAGATTCCCCACTTAAAAATATTGAAATGCATTGGAAAAGCTGTGCCACTATCTATTTGGAAGCCGTTTCATACCAAATACGTCAACGATACCTTCCGTCCCCACTGGGAGCGCTTGGGACGCTCTCAGCCTTTGCGCAGGTGACCACCACGGTGCAAAACACCTTGGGCTCGGACACGGCCCGGCGGCCTAAGCCGGCGAAGCCGGCTTCTTGCATACAGGCTTCTATAGAGACGTCGTTTAAGAATGTGGTCGGTCGTTTGATAGATCATGATCCTGGACTTGGGTTACATAAGATGATATTCCACAAGCTGTCCTGTCGAAGCAGCACGAAGGAGTGTGACTGGGATCGTTGTGAAAGGCTTGCGATTAGAATGCAACTGTTGCTTTCGGTGGCTTATCAGTCAGTTCACTTCCCCTAAGTGAGTGAGTGATAGTGATGCGTGCTTTCACCCTTTTTGGGGTGTATTCTCCAGGTTTGCAGACAGTTTTGTTTTGAAGTTGCTCACATGGCATATGCCTTGCTATGCGTTCAATCCAAACGAAATGGCTGGAATTATCGAGTGTTTGGTCATTTGTTGAACCCATACTTTAGATGTTTGGAATTATCCTTTGCTTTCGTTTGAACCCCCCCAAGTTGGTGAGTTCTCTCAAGCGAACTCCATCCCCAATCATCATCCACAATCATCATCCCACTATAACATCTGACCTTGGACCCCTGAATCCATCAGCCTCGTCCGGTCGAACCTCCCGAGGATGCTCATCACGTCGCCGACTCCTGGGCCTTCCAAGCAGCTTTCAGCGCATGGCTTCTGGGCGATGTCCATCTGACCGGTCGGACTGGGACTGCCAGACTGGTCTGCGACACGACGGCCAGGGGTTGGTGCCACAGGGGTCTGTCTGGGGCGGCAGGACATATATGGCAGTCCCATTAGGAGTGTCTGGGTCTATGATGTTTCTGATTTCTTTAATCCTCCAGCAAGGTGGGAAATGACCAGCCAACGAGAGACCTGAAAGCAAAAAACTCTTCGCCCTGCCCTTTAGGCAACGAACAGTCACCACAGCGGGAGTCACAGGACATTTGGCCTGTTTCCACAATTAATATCCCTACCCCCTTAGGTACCATTTTGGAGGGGGGACCTAGAAAAATGTAACGTACAGTTTTCGAGGGACCCCATAAATGTATGTTGACCATCCCCCCCCGTTTTTGGCCCTACTTGATCAAGTAGAGACCATATTCATGGCCTCCCCCCCAGATTCGTGCTGCATGTTGCTTGCGTGCTCCTGGGAATTCACTAGGAAATGAGGAGGTGGCTGGCAGGTGTCAGCATGCAATTTTAGCGGGGGATGGAGAAGTATTCCCAAGTTATATTTTCTTGACCACCCTTTAAACAAAATAACAACATAAGTAAGAAGGTGTAAGAAGCATTGTGAAAACGATGCCAAAAACAATCGTGGCACCCTGTTTTGGAAGCTTCCCATGGCTCCTTCTATTGTATTTCTATGATTCTATGGTTTTCTGGTGGCCTAACCCAAGACAGCTTACATTTTCCTGGGCTTAGTGGCTGTAAATTAGATGCAAAAGGTACATGACTGAACTTTCTTGGGCCCTGCTATTGTATTTCTATGGTTTCCAGGACACCTAACCCAAAGCAACATACCTTTTTTTTGAAGTGGGCAGCTGTAGGCTGGGTATTGGGAAGGGGGCTGGGGATTGGAGCGTGTTTTCCTGTCTTTGAGGGTGATCTGGAACAAGTTACATGTTTTTAGGCTCATAAAAAACAAATGTAGCCTACATGTCTTTTTATGTTTACCTGGAGAAAATGCATGTAAGCTTACATGTTTAAGCTTCACTTTCCATGCCCCCTAGATATTGTAACCTATATATATATTTATAGGTCCCCCCATTAATAGGTACGGCTCAATTAATGATGCATTGATTGTCAACACCTCACCTGCTCAGCAGTGCACCAACACAGGCTTTGTTAGGCTTGATTAACTTTAGAACGACCAAGGTCAGCATGAATTGGCATCCCATGCTCTTCCGTTGGCCCACCGAGGCTGAAGTGCAATGGAATCGTTCCATCTGTCAGCTTCGAGCCGATTCCGGCCGTGCCAGGCACGATCACCGGTTTTGGGTCTATTTCTCTTCTTCCAGGGGGGTGAACTCGATTTAAAAGCATACATTTGCAGACCCAGGGAAATATCATGTATACGCACCCAGTGGTCAGGCATAATCCCAGACCACACGAGTCTTTCTTAGAGCGTTTGGGAATTGGACACAATCTTGCTGAAGCCAAGTCCAAAACTTATGTGTTCATATCTTTTCATATCACTGGAGATGCAGAGAGGCACATGAGATGGGTGGCATACCCACCTTTGACTTCACGCGACATGTCACGGAACGTGCGCGCGACCCAGCGCCCATGTGGGCGGCTGCCCCGGTGACTTCCCCATGTTGCACACTAGCATTGAGTAACCCCAAGGATATCAAATGGAGTGGATCTTCTCACCTAAAGGGTCCTGGGTCCAGAAGCAGAGTGACCTCGCAACGACATGTTGCAGAGGAAGACTCATAGACTCACCGCCGATGCAACACCCAGGGACACGCATGCCCAGGCCCAGACTCATTAATCTCTTGAAGACCATTCTCTCAAGGGACTCTTGGTGTAAGTCCCAGCAGCCCTGAATCGAATCAGATGAGACATGTCGCATGACTATGGAGCTACGATCCAGCAGAGATTTGAGTTGTTCCTGTCCTGTCCGGCAATGCCGAGAGTTCGCTGCAGTCAAAGAAAACTAGAACTGTATTTAGATGTATTTAGATGCATGTATCATGTATGGCACAACTTCATTTGATATGAAGATCCATGAACATGTTCATCACTTGGATGTATAGGTCAAAACCCACACGGCGTTTCTCTTTTTAAAGGATATATAATCAGTTGGATGTGTTCACCAGTGTACCCAGCATAAGTTAAAAGGGACATATTATATTCCCGTTGTTTCGGGCTTCATCTCGTTCGTGATGCGGCCGACATGTGTGCAGTGTTCTGTTGTCAGGCCGACCAAAGTTTGTGGCAGAGGACGTCTTCAGTTTGTCGCTGGGGATTTTATGGATGCCTTGCGGACTTGATGGAATCTCCTCAGACCAACTGAGCGTTGTATCCAGCTCCATAGCTGTCAGGGTTCATGTCACCTGCTACCGCGGGTTTGAGTGCTATGTTTGAAAATGGCTGCCATTTGGGTGTGTAGCTCAACACCTGCCTGCCCTCTCCCCCTGCTTCGAGACCAGGCTCGACATCCGCCAGGACATGCGACAAACGCCCATCATTTTGTGCAATCACGTGTCAGTGACTTAGAGCTGTGCCCAAGGAGATAGACGCTGGTTTAATACAAGCACCTACACCAGTCGAAAGATGAGGAGAACAACACTCCATCAATGCCTTAAAATGTGTTGTTGCTTCGAAGCACGTGGTGGTTTAGAAGCAAATTTGTCGGGGTGGTTGGGCTGCAAGGTCCAACCCAGCAGCCAGAACCGATGCCCTTCAGCCCTAAACCAGGCAATGGAATTGATCCATTGGATGTACACTCTGACTCTTCAACATGGAAGTGTACATTTTTTTGCAGCTCAGGTGCTACTTGGATGGGATGGTTTTAGCTTCCGTCTTCCACGGGCCCAAGATCATTGCCATGAAGGGCACTTTGCGACTTGGCACAGAACATGCTGAACTTGTTGGTTAGGGCGGAGTTCGCATAAAAGATCGAAGACTTGTTGACATCATTCACGGTTGACGTATGCT